TAGTTGAAACAATAATTCCTATTGATAACTAATGAAAAAAAGTTCAAAAGTTTCCATTTTTATTTTCCAATGAAATTTTCACTGTTTACTTGATTATTCCGCGTGATTGAAGTGCCTACAGCCACTGTGGCTTGGTTGCTATAATAGCGGTGGGGTGCCGATAGGCATTGAAAAAAATAACTCCGTTATTTGGTACGGAGACATTTAGTTTACAGATTAAAATTATTTTCGATTTACGTATATTTTTTATGAGAGAAAATTCTGTAACGAATCATAAACCATGATTTAAATCATTATTTGAATCTTCCAACCAAAACTGTTTAGTTTTATTAATATGAATTTCTTAATGAAAAATGTAAATAAAAATCTGTACGTGTGCAATTTTCATATTTCCAAGTACTTTCATTTATCTTATTTAGAAGTTGTAAAAGGACAGTTTTATCCTGAATAGGATAAAACGCTTATTTGGAAGTTGTAAAAGAAGCAGTTTTATCCTATTCAGTAAAACGTTCTAAATAATACTCTTGCACTCCAATATAAAAAGTGAGTGCAAAATTATTCTTAATAACATTACTTACCTCCCATTTATATAATTTTCAAAAATGAGTACAGAATTGCTGAAATTTACATATTGTATTTATCACCGTCATGATATTATTACGTAGAAAACTTTAAACATTTTTTTTTATGGAAGGAAGATATAAATAAAAATTGAGAAATATATTATTGTGATCTTGTGTGATACATAGTATCTAATATTTTACTTGTGAAATACGACTGCAACATATATTATGACATGATACTTATAAAAAAAACACATATATTAATAGTAGGTATCTCTTTTTTTTCCTTTAAAAAAAAGAAGGTATCTCATTTTTTTAAAGATATTAACCAGTCAAACTTCTTGGTTTTTAGTTTACTATTTGACTTTCATGGTTTTATAATAAGAGGTCTCAATCTTCTAAGTCTTAGTAGCAATAATAATAATAATAATAATAATAATAATAATAAGAGGTCTCAATCCTATTAAAAAATTTGGAATATCTATAGTATGAATTTGTACTTATTCCCTACCAACAAAATAATAATTATCAACCGTCCGATTGTTTTTGAATATTTCAAATTAAAAAGATGTGTTCATAATTATAAAATTACTGTACGTGTTTACTTAATACCTTTTTTTCTTTAAAAGAACATTTGTCATTGAATTCAAACCATATTTTCCCTCTGCCCAAACGAAAATGACCTCTTCCGCCACCTTCGACGACTTGCTGACTTGTCCTCCTTTGTTGACGGTGATACGAGCCCTTCTAACTCTCCTTCCCCTCGACTCGACCTTCTTTGTCGCCCTTTTCGATTTGATATCCTCTTATTGCTTTTTTGGTTTCTTTTATTTTTTTCAATTTTTAAAAATATAGTGCGAGTGGATTCACTTAACCTAATGGTACTTATTTATCCTTCATCACCGGATGCAGATCCAATGGTTTTTATTTGTTCCTTATTGGTTGGGAAGAAGCATTCCCTACAACATACACTCCCCAAAATCACGCTCCCATTTGTTTAGAATCATAGGTGATACAGCTAATAAAACAATATAATATGTTCAGAAAATTGTTTGCACTAATCAAACTACAATAAGGATTGACTTGTTCAGAGAATTCTTTTACGTTTTTTTTTTTTTCGATTTATTTTTATTTTTTGCATTCGGATGTGTAATTTGAGGGACATTTGCTTTCCCTCAAATTCAATAGACTTGAATAAATAATAAAGATCACGTCACTAGAAAAATCCCCACCTACTTTTTTTTTAAACCGTCAGTAGTTCTTGTATGACGTATCAAACTACATATGAATCTTGACAAAAATCATACACTTTGATAAATGTTGAATTTTATCTGATATTTTCTAATGAGTTTTTTTAGTAAGATTAAAAAAAATAAACCACTAGTAATTTTTTTTATTTTCAACCTTCAAATTAATTATAAAAATTATCTGTTCTACATATTTTTTTAATTTAAACCACTAGTAATTTTTTTATTTTAAACCTTCAAATTAATTATAAAAATTATCTGTTCTACATATTTTTTTAATTTGATATAATTTTAACTAAATTTAATATTAAAAACTGTCTCTAGTGGTGAGTAAACCCCACTTCAAAAAGTCCCACTTTCTCTATATTCGTTACTTTTCCTCCCTTTTTGTGTGCTTTTTTAAGGTGAGATTTTGACGGGGAAAGTCTTAGAAACAAATTGGAATTAAAAGTTAATCAGTCAAGGCAAGGGGTTAATTGTATGTGATTGCTTGGATAATACTTTAATAGTCTTTGCCAGTTACAAGTTGAAAGCCTCATAATGGTCCCGATAATATCCAGGTTCAAAGAGAGTGAATGAATTATGAAGGGAGGAAGGATCCATAGGGACAAGAAAACCACTCGACAACCAACATCCAAAGCTAAAAAAACAAAAAAAAAACAAAAAACAAAAAGGCAAAATAACAAAAGTCCAGCTTTTTACAATTACAATAGAAATGCCATGTTAAATTTAATTAAAATCACATAAAAATAAAAATAAAAAAATTAACAACTCGTAATAAAGATTTAACAATTTAAAATAACACCTTACTACTATTTTTTTTTTAAATTATCTACATCTATATAGCTAATCAAAGAAGTGAGAATGTGAGATAAAATAGTGGACTCGTACTTATATTTGAGTGGGGATGTTTAGAAGTAAGGACCTTCTATGGTAATTAACATATCATATTTTTTAACGGTTAAATCTGTATAAAATCACATAAAAATTAAAAAATACGTAGATTTAAAAATTAAAAAAATCTGACCTACCAATACACCGGTATACCAGAGAATCTCTTTTAGAAGTATTCTTTTTCATATTATACTGAAAAATTCTAAAAAAATAAAAATAAGAAGATTTTTTTAGTAGGACATTTTATCGATAATACATTTTAAAAATTAAAATATGATTTAAATTTGAAGGTATATAAAACAAAAATAGAAATATACGCCCGATCTAACACTTTAAAGTCGAGTTTAAAATTTAAATTTTGATGTAGTAAAAATATATAAAAAACAGTCATATTTAACTTTTTTTATAAAAAATTTACATATAAAATCACATTTTAATTTAAATTAAAACCTTAAATTAACAAATTAAACGAATCTTAAATCAAATCTCCACGTAAGAGATTTTTTTTTTTGGGTACTATTCTCATATTCTCCCAAAAATAAAATAAAACAAACAGAACCACTCAACAGCGGAGAAAGTGACTCTCTAATGATTAGTCCGTGTGACGCACGCGCCAAAGTGTATGGGTGACCCTTAGCTATCCTCTCAAGATTCCAAACATCGAGTTAAGTTGTCAGCTTCAAATATTATAAACCCACATTTAGGAACAACTTTAACCACAGTTTAACATAACAAAGTTGGAGTCAAAAAAGAAAAAAAAATGAAAAAAATAAAGAGAATCTTTATAGCAGGAAT